TTGCTGGAGTTTGGGGTTGTGTGTAGGAGGATTAATACTAGTCACTATTGTGAACCCAGAAAATCTGAGACAGGTCTGAGTTAATTTAGAAAGTTTATTTTGCCAAGGTTGAGGATGTGCCTGTGACACAGCCTCAGGAAGTCCCGATGACATATGCCCGAGATGGTCAGGGCACAGCTTGGTTTTATACATTTTAGGGAGACACGAGACACCAATCAATATTATAAGAAGTACGTCAGTTGGGTCTGGAAAGGCGGGGCAACTTGAAGCAAAGGCAGGAAGACTCTAAGTGAGAGGGAGGGAGCTTCCAGGTCACAGTTGCATTCTTTGGAGTTTAGGATTAGCCCTTCCAAAGGAGGCAATCAGATATGCATCGATCTCAGTGAAAGGAGGGATAACTTTGAATAGAATGGGAGGCAGGTTTGCCCTAAGCAGTTTCCAGCTTCAGTTTTCCTTAATGATTTTGGGGGCCCAAGATATTTTCCTTTCACACTATCTACCATGTACCGGCATTTCACATACATGACACAATCTCATTGGGACGCACAACAAAACTGAAATAGCTGTTCTGTTATTGAGGATATGAAGCACAGTGTTACCTGCCTGAGGACACAAAACTAGTAAATTGGGGAGGTCGGATTCCAACTTACATCTTTGTAACCCAAATACTAAACCTCTCTAACTGTAGGCCTGGAAATTGGGGCCAACATGGAGATGTATCACTCAGATCTCACTTTAAGACAGGACTGCCAGGCCGCGGCCATGTGGTTCGCTGGCAGCCCCCAGTGTGGTGAGCTCCTGCAGTCAGTGGTGTGTTAGTAATGTTTAACAACCAGCTTACTGGGCACGGTGGCTCACACCTGTAATCCCAGCACTTTGGGAGGCTGAGGTGGGTGGATTACCTGAGGTCGGGAGTTCAAGACCAGCCTGACCAACATAGAGAAACCCTGTCTCTACTAAAAATACAAAATTAGCTGGGCATGATGGCGCATGCCTGTAATCCCAGTTACTCGGAAGGGTGAGGCAGGAGAATCACTGAACCTGGGAGGCGGAGGTTGTGGTGAGCCGAGAGTGTGCCATCGCACTCCCGCCTGGGCAACAAGAGCGAAACTCTGTCTCAAAAAAACAAAAAACAAAAAAAACAGCTCTTAGCAGGGAGAAATGTGTGCACATATACTGTGGGTTCTCAGTATTCTCTGTAGTTCTATAAGTTCTATAAAGTGGCTTCAAACACTGATATAGTGAATACTGAACCATTGCTCTTAGAGGAAATGCAGAATAAGGTGCCTGAGGGCCTCTAGTTACATTTTCATCAGCCCATTAATATCTAACCTTGTTTTACCCGTATTTCTGTTTAAAGACTCCATATGTCAGGTATGATTCTGACATGAACATTGATTGGTATTTTTGTTTACATTAAGGATTAAAATGAAAGTAAAAGAACAAAGGTGTATATTGGGAACCTCATTCATTATTCAATAGCATGAGTGACTTCTTTGTGAATCAGGTAACTGTTTTCAAATACTAGAATATCCCTCAATTTTTTGTACTATTTCCAATGTAATAGCTACAGACATGGCATACTTTTAAATTTAGTATGCAATATTAACCTTTCTCCTTTACTTTCTTTTGTCTAGAACACTGTACAGGTTTTTGTGTGAGCATAAATTTTCATTTCTTTAGGAAAAATACACAGGAATGAGACTGCTAGCTCATATGATAAACGTATTTTCAACTTTATAAAAAGCTACCAATTTGGGCACAGTGGCTCATACCCATAATCCCAGCACTTTAGGAGGCTGAGGTGGAAGGATCCCTTGAACCCAGGAGTTCGAGACTAGCCTAGGCAACATGGTGAAACTCTCTCTCTACAAAAAAATACCAAAATTAGCCAGGCAGGCTAGGCACGGTGGCTCAGGCCTGTAATCCCAGCACTTTGGGAGGCCAAGGCGGGCAGATCACCTGAGGTCAGGAGTTCAAGACCAGCCTGGCCAACATGGTGAAATCCCGTCTCTACTAAAAACACAAAAATTAGCTGGACATGGTGGCAGGTTCTTGTAATCCCAGCTACTTGGGAGGCTGAGGCAGGAGGATCGCTTGAACCCAGGAGACGGAAGTTGCCATGAGCCGAGATCATGCCACTGCACTCCCGCCTGGGCAAAAAGAGTGAAACTCCTTCTCAAAAAAACAAAAACAAAAAGTAGCCAGGCATGGTGGCAAGGCTAGGGTGGGAGGATCACTTGGGTCCAGAAGGCAGAGGTTGCAATGAGCTGAGATTGTGGCACTGCACTCCAGCCTGGGCGACAGTGCAAGACCTTGTCCAAAAAAAAAAGAAAAGAAAAGAAAAAGAAATAAAAAAGAAAAAAGAAGAGAGAAAGAGAGAAGAAAGAAAGAAAAGAAAAGGAGCTACCAAACTTTTCCAGTGTGGCTGTACTTTTTTTTTTTTTTTTTTTTTAGAGACAGCATTCACTCTTGTTGCCCAGGCTGAAGTGCAATGGCACAATTTCGGCTCACCACAACCTCTGCCTCCTGGGTTCAAGAGATTCTCCTGCCTCAGCCTCCCGAGCAGCTAGGATTACAGACACGCGCCACCACGCCAGCCTAATTTTGTATTTTTAGTAGAGATGGGGTTTCTCCATGTTGGTCAGGCTGGTCTTGAACTCCCGACCTCAGGTGATCCACTCGCCTTAGCCTCCCAAAGTGCTGGGATTACAGGCGTGAGCCACCGCGCCCAGCCATGGCTATACCATTTTACACTGCCATCAGCAATGTACAAGAGATCTGGTTGCCCCTCATCCTTTTCAGCACTTGTTATTATCAATGTTTTAGAAAAACTTTAGCCATCAGTGTGTAGAGATATCTAATCATACCTTTCGTTTGTATTTCCCTAATGGTTAATGATCTTGAATATCTATTCATGTGCTTATTTGCCATCTGTATTAGATTTGTTTTTAATATATTTTATTCAGTTGTACGTTTACATATTTTAATTTGTAATAATGGCTGTCTTTAACAACTGGCTCGTAAAATTCCTGAAAGTTTCACCATCAGCTATTGCCAGCCAAAGCAAGCTGGCTCCAGCACACCACTTCAACTGTCTGGCTGCGGTCTCCGTGGCCTCTGGGCAGCTCTCAGGCAATGACTGAGCAAAGAGGTGGAATGAGGCCTCACCATTTCCCCCAAAGGCAGGATTCCTTTCTGGACAGTCTTTGCTCAGAGTATCGCCATTTGACAGCTCTCCCTGCCCAATTCTGCCTCTTTCTTTGACAGATGCTGTTCCTGATAAACTTTCCCAACCCTAACTCTCTATGCATGTTTCCTGGCGAGCCCAGCCAGCACAGAAATTCTGTCCAGCGACACGGCAGCCTTTCTGCCTCTGCCACCGCTCTGATTTCACTGCCACACTCGCTTAGGCCCTTTGAGCTCCTCACCTAGATAAACACACATCAGCCCAGAGGCACCGCTATCTCAGCGCTCCCGGCCCATAACATTCCTGGAGCCCGGCCAGTGGGTGCCTCAACCCTGATTCACCTATGTGCACTGCTGTGTGGTGAGAGTGGTTCCCTGGGTCATTCTCCAGCACAACCTAAGAGTGCCACACATGCTGGAAGTGCAGAAATCTCAGTGTCCTGAGGAGGTGATGGCTGTGGTTGAGCTCAGTTGGGATGGAATGTCCATGATGGTTTTTTCACATGGCTGGTTGACTAATGCAGATTTCTGACCGCAAGCTCAGCTGGGGCTGTTGACTCAGGAGCACCTACACATGGCCTGTCTGTGTGGCTTGGGCTTCTCACAGCCCGGGGCCCCAAGAGTGACGTTCCAAGAACAAGCCTTTCAAGAGGGAAGAAATGGAATCTGCATTTCTCTCAAGGCTAGACCCAGAACTAACACAGGATCACTTGCAACACATTTTTATTGGTTAATCAGTCATAGGACAAGCTTTTTTTCAAGGGAGGAGGTAATAAACACCAACTCTCAATGGAAAGAGTGAAAAAGAAGTTATTGCCATCTTTAATGTGCTACAACACCATTAAGAGACTATAACAGTGGCCAGGTGTGGTGGCTTATCCTGTAATCCCAGCACTTTGGGAGGCCAAGGTGGGTGGATCATGAGGTCAGGAGTTCGAGACCAGGCGGGCCAAGTTGTGAAACCCCATCTCTACTAAAAATACAAAAATTAGTCAGGCATGGTGGCGGGCGCCTGTAATCCCAGCCACTCAGGAGGCTGAGGCAGGCGATCACTAGAACCCGGGAGGTGGAGGTTGCAGTGAGCTGAGATCATGCCACTGCACCGTAGCCTAGGCAATAGAGCAAGATTCTGTCTCAAAAAAACAAAAACAAAAACAAAAACAAAAAAACAAAAAACAAAGAGAGAGCGAGAGAGAATATAACAGCAAAGCACTGGAATATTTTTTCTTTTTTCCTTTTTTTTTTTTTTTTTTTCCTGAGACAGGGTCTGGCTCTGTTGCCCAGACTGGAATGCGGTGGCACGATCACAGTTCACTGCAACCTCAACCTCTGCCTCTGGGGCTGAAGCAATCCTCCCACTTCAGCCTCCTGAGTAGCTGGGACTACAGGCACACATCACCATGCCTGCCTTATTTTTGTACTTTTTTGGTAGAGACACAGTTTTGCCATGTTGCCCAGGTTGGTTTTGAACTGGGCTCAAGTGATCCGCCCGCCTCAGCCTCCCAAAGTGTTAGGATTATAGGCATGAGCCACCGTGCCCAGCCAAAGATTTTCAAAACATATATGTTATGGGTTGAATTGTGCCCACCCAAAATTTATATATCCACGTCCCAACCCCCCAGTACATTAGAATGCAACCTTATTTGGAAATAGGGTAACTGCAGATGTCATTAGTTAAGATAAAGTCATACTTGAGTAGGGTGGGCCCTCATGTTACAGAATCTTTGAGGTGTCAATCTTCTGGCTGGAAACCTCTGTGGCCAGCCTGAGTTATTGTCTTGTGTCCAGGAAGAATGAGGTACGGAAACAAATGAAGGGTGAACAAGATGAAGATGAGCTTTATTAAGTGTTAGAACGGCTCAGAGGAGACCCACAGTGGGTAGCTCCTTTCTGTAGGCAGCTTATCCCGACGTCTGCTGCTTTCAGCAGAGAGGAGATCCTGGAGAGGGTTGTCTGCAGCTGGTAGTCCGGATGTCTCTGCAGGTCTCTGAAGCTCTCAGCAGAGAGGGTAGCTCCTCTCTACAGCTGGTCTTCCTGTGCTGTCTTCTCTCCGTTCTCCCCGCCATCTCTTGCTCTAGCTAAGCCCAGGGCTTTTATGGACCTTGGAGGGGAAGAAATGCATGCCAAATGGTCCATGGGTGACCATGGGCAGGCCTGGAAGAGGAATCATGAGTCCTCACTCCGGTCTGGTCTGCGGGCCTGGAAGCCCTGGCCTGAAGGTGGGGCCTTACCAGGGACACGCCCCCTTCCGCCCAGGACTCTGTCTCCCTCCGGTTGCCATTCATGGACTCGAGGCTCAGCCCCAACCCTGCTCCAAGATCTGAGCCGGTACCAGGAGTGGAGAGAGGCCAGGCAGTGAGAGTAGACACCCCTGAGCCTGCAGGGATGATGTGTGGGGGTGGGGGTCGTCTTCCCGGGACCAGAGAGTGCAGGCTACAGAGATGCCCAGGTCCTGTGCCTGGGATAGCAACCAGGGGAGCTCCGGCCCCAGCCAACTCGTAAGGGTGGGGCTCCTGTTTGTCTCTGGCTCCTGTCTGCTCTGTGGAGCAGGAGACCCAGGTCTGCAGCTGCAGGTCGGGTAGCTGTAGCTGCACCCAGGAGGGCAGATCCTGCCTGCTCCTGGCACCCCCACCAAGAGCACAGGCTCAGATCCACAGCCACAGTCTGGGCAGCTGTAGCTCCACTCAGGAGGGCGGGGCTCCTTCCTATTCCATAGGGCAGGACGCCTGGGTCTGCAGCCATGATTTGGGCAGCTGCAGCCAGTGTGATGCCAGCAGCTGCTGCCATCACTAATTCAGTATAACTGGTGTCCTCATAAAAGGGAAAATTTGGACACAGAGACACGCACACAGGGGAAGCCCATGTGAAGATGAAGGTCAAGATCTATAAGCCAAGGAATACCAAAAATTGCCAGCTAACCCTCAGAAGCCAGGAGAGACACATAGGGCAGATTCTCCCTCACAGCCCTCAGAAGGAACCACTCTGCCAGCACCTTGATCTCAGACTCCTGGGCTCCAGAACTTTGAGAAAATACATTTCTGTTATTCAAGCCATCCAGTTTGTGGTACTTTATTATGGCTGCCTGGCTACCCTAGTAAATTAGTGCAATATATAAAGAATGTCTGCAAAGCGATAAGAAAAAGACAACCCGAGGGAGAAACGAGCAAAGGTATAAACAAACACTTCACAAAATAATATATTTAAAAGGTGAATCATATGAAAAATTGCCGAACATCATTAGTTATTAGGGAAATGCAAATTAAACCTTAGTAAGATATCACTGCATATGCTTCAGAATAGCTTATCATAAAAATATAGATTTGAAGTACTGGCAAGGATGTAGATAGAGGTAGAGCAAATGGAACTCGCATTGCTCCTAGAAGTATAAATTAGTGCAACCATCTTGAAGAACTGTCAGTATCTACTAAACATGAATATACATATACCTATGACCCGACAATTCCACTCCTACACATAGGCTCAACAGAAATGTGTACGTGTGTACACTATGGGACATAATCATAAATGGTTATAGCAGCACTATTCATAATTCCCTCAAACTGGAAACAGTTTAAAGTTCTAGTCACTGTAGAATAGCTACATACATGGTGGTCTAGTCAAAGGAATACTACAGAGCAGTGAAATGAACCAACTATTACTACATGCAGGAACATGCATGAGTCTAACAAAAATAAATGATGAGTTCCAAACGCAAAGAGTATAGACTGTATGGTTCCATTCACATAAAGTTCAAACAGGCAAAACTACTCTGCGATAACGGAAGTCAGGGTAGTGATTATCTTTGGGGAAGAGAGAGGGTTCGCGACTGGAAAGTGGCACAAGGGGAGACTGGGGGTGACAATGTTCTATTTTTTAAATCTAGATGATATTTTCCTTAGTGAAAATTCATTGAGTTGTACCTTTTATTATTTGTGTGCTTTTCTATGAGTGTCAAAATTCAATGAAAAATTTTATTTAAAAAAGTAAATAGCGGGGCGTGGTGGCTCACGCCTGTAATCCTAACACTTTGGGAGGCCAAGGTTGGTAGATCACCTGAGGTCAGGTGTCCAAGACCAGCTTGGCCAACATGGTGAAACCCTGTCTCCACTAAAAATACAAAAGTTAGCTGAGTGTGGTGGCACACACCTGTAGTCCCAGCTTCTCGGGAGGGTGAGGCAGGAGAATCGGTTGAATTCAGGAGGCAGATTGCAGTGAGCCGAGATTGAGCCACTGTACTCCAACCTGGGCAATAGAGTGAGACTCCATCTCAAAAAAAAACCCCCAAAAAAGTAAATAAGGTTGGGTGTGGTGGCTCATGCCTGTAATCCCAGTACTTTGGGAGGACAAGGCAGGCGGATCACCTGAGGTCAGGAGTTTGAGACCAGCCTGACCAGCATGGCGAAACCCCGTCTCTACTAAATATGCAAAAATTAGCCAGATGTGGTGGTAGATGCCTGTAATCCCACCTACTCAGGAAGCTGAGGCAGGAGAATCACTTGAACCTGGGAGGTGGAGGCTGCAGTGAGTTGAGATCATGCTACTGCACTCCAGTCTGGGTGACAGAGCAAGACCTTGTCTCAACAACAACAACAAAAGTAAATAAGTAAATAAATACATTCCAAAGTATAAGGGGATTTCCACCCACCGATAACTGAAAATTCTAGTCATGCTTTTCACATTTGTAATGATTTATAAATGTGCTCTACTGAAAAACTGCTCTGTTTTTGTAAATAGGAAAGAGGTTGTAAGTTCAATTTTTTATTTGATTATTTGATTACATATATATTTATTTGTGTGTGCATGAAACATTTAATGTTGATTACCTATTTAAAAATTTGCAAAAACAGAGTGAACAAGAGCATATTAAGCAAGGAATTTGACATTAACTTGGGAGGCACCATTGGATGACAGGATTAGCTGTCAAATGCATCTCAACAGCATCAACTTGCCTCCAGTTTCCACATAGACGGCAGCCTATCCTCCAGCCTTACTGAGCGTGGAATTCCTCCAGCCTCAGACTCTGTCTCTCCCTTCCAGGTTACTTCACACATAGCATTCTCTGCTAAGACAGTCCCGTAACTCTTCACCTAGCTAACTCCTTCAGAGTCTAGTTCAGACATCACCTGCTGTAAGTCATCTCCTTTGGTCTCTCTCATAGTCTCTGAGATGGCCCCCAGTGATCTCTCCTCCTGGTGTTCATGCCCTTGTGTAATCTCCTCCCCTTGAGCATGAGCTGGATCTAGCGAGTCACTTCTAAAAAATAGAATGTGGCAAAAGTGATGGGATGTTACTTACGAGATTATGTTACAGAAAGACTGACTTCTAGCTCGAGCTCCCTCTCTTCTCTCTGTTTCTCTCTCTCTCAAAGCTCTTGCTCTCATGTGGCAAGAAAATGACAACTTCAGCCAATAGCCAGTGAGGGTCTTCAGGGTGAAACCTCCTTCGGTCACCAGTGAGATGATTACAGCCCCAGCTGACACGTTGATTACAGTCTTGGAAGACCCTGAGGCACCCAACTTAGCTGTACCAGATTTCTGACCCACAGAAACTATGAGCTAATACATATTTATTGTTTTAGGCAGCTAAAATTTGGAATAATTTGTTATAACACAATAGAAAACTAATACAACCTCAACTTTCTTCCCTCCCATTCCAGGATGGATTTTGTTGTTGTTGTTTTGTTTTTTGTTTTTGAGACAGGATCTCTCTGTTGCCCAAGCTGGAGTGCAGTGGTGCAATCACGGCCCACTACAGTCTCAACTTCCCAGGCTCAAGTGATCCTCTCAGCCTTGGCCTTCCAAGTAGCTGGGTCCACAGGCATGAGCCACCATGCCTGGCTAGTTTTTTGTTCTTTTTTTTTTTAGATGGAGTTTCGCTCTTGTTGTCCAGGCTGGAGTGCAGTGGTGCACCGCAACCTCCACCTCCCAGGTTCAAGCGATTATCCTGCCTCAGCCTCCTGAGTAACTGGAATTACAGGCATGCACCACCACGGCCGGCTAATTTTGTATTTTTAGTAGAGATGGGGTTTCTCCACGTTGGTCAGGCTGATCTTGAACTCCCAACCTCAGGTGATCTGCCCGCTTTGGCCTCCCAAAGTGCTGGGATTACAGGCGTAAGCCATTGCGCCCGGCCTAGGTTTTTGGTTTTTAAAAAATATTTTGTAGAGGCAGGATCTCACTATGTTACCAAGGCTGATCTCAAACTCTTGGCCTCAAGTGATCCAGCCATCTCGGCCTCCCAAAATGTTGGGATTACAGGCATAAGCCACCTTGCCTGGCCCATCCAGGTTGGATTCTTGCCCTGGTAGTACCCAACACTTCTCATGATCACAACATTTATCACACTTTATAGTAATCTAGTGCTTACTTGCTTATCTCTCCAATGAAAAGATCCAGAGATTATGTCTTACAAGCTTTTTCACTACAGTTCCTGGAACTTAGTTGTAATCAATAAGTGGTGGATGAACACATAAAAGAATAAATAGATGATAGCTGTTTAATCTTGGAAAATAACAACCTTTCTGACTCTCTGATTCTTTTTTTTTTTTTAGAGATGGGATGTTGCTATGTTGCCCAGGCTGGAGTGCAGTGGCTATTATTCATAGGCACCATCATAGCACACTGTGGCTTCAAACTGCCAGGCTCAAGTGATCCTCCCACTTTGGACTTCTGAGTAACTGGGACTATGGGCGCATGCATTGTACCTGGCTTTGATTCTTAATCTTCTAATTTTAAAATGATGGCAACTAAAAATTGTAGAAACATTTAAGAGACAAAATGATCATGACTTAGTAAGTAATTAGATGTGAGAGGTGACAGAAAAGGAGGTGTCAAAGTTTGGGCAGTTACATATCTCTAAGGGAGAAAAAGAATACCAGAGGAGAGGCCAGTTCAGAGTGGAAGTTGGTGAGTTCAATGCTGGACATGCCAAAATTGAGCTGTCTTTGAACACATCCACCAGGCTGATGGGTATATAAGACCAACTGTTAGAGAGGTATGTGGTGGAATAGATTTGGGAGTTAGTTGCACCTAGATGGCAATCTAAGTCACAGGAGAGAAGCCAAAGACTGAGCTAAGCCGTGGTCTGAGAACAGACCCTTGG